GATGTCGAAGACAAACATGGTGGTGGAGGAGAAAAAACCTTCAAAGATGAACAACTAGAAGCATTGCTTGATGAAGATTCGTGCCAAACCCAAGAACAGCTTGCCGAATTTTCGGAAGTGAGTCAGCAAGCCATTTCAAAACGTCTCAAGGCCCTGGGCATGATTCAATCTTTCGAAGAATTGGAAAAATGGATGGCGTCAAAAGAGGACTCCTTTTTTCGAGCCGGGATCCGAAAATTGCCGAAAAGATGGGAGAAAGTTGTCGCTAGCGAATAAATCTGTAAGCACTTTTTCGCAATAAAGCTTTTAATTTTGGAAAAACGGTATGAGACATGTCGCTTTTTAAAAAAACACCACGGTTAAAATTGATAGTAAACTGAACTGGAAAATGAACTTAGAAAAACGAGTAGAGAAGGCATGGGACCTCGTACAAATTTTGCATTGATAACTGCCATTCGAACGTATTCACAACCGCATAATGCAACGTTTGCACCATTCCTTATCGCCTGCCAAATCGGGTTCGCTGTCTCCAGTGTTTCACTTTCACTATCATTCATCAGGCTGGAGAAGTGTTTCCCTCCATGCACTGAGTAGTAGTAGTTAGATCACATTTTGGTCTTGAAACCTGCTACAAGTCGTCCAATTCAGCCAGCTTACTCACTCATATGTAGTTTCTTAAATTGGTTTCTTAGAAAAACTTGATTTATTAAGAGACTTTGGACTGATTTGTCGCTAGTCACACTGATTTTTTAACTTTATATCTTCTTTTTAAAAAGCTTTTAAGCTTTGAGGATTCTCAAGATTTCGAGTATCTAAAGTTAGTCTTTAGAACGTTTGCGCAGTTCCAACTTTTACAAGATATCTGTTTGAAAAATTCGTAATAAAAATATGCAATTTTATATCTTAAAAAACAACAATTTGATTGAATCACAACAAAGCACAACTGAAAATAGTAGAGTAGAGCAGCTCAAGTTCGAGCAGAACAGAGAGCAGCTGCCAAAAAAAAAATGCACAACAGAGCAAGTTAGAGCAACTCGGGTCAAAAATCTCATGAAACATTTTTCGGTCGACAATTTTAAAATCTTACGATTTTCTCATATATTTCTTGATGAAATTAATAAAATTACCAAAAAAAAAAATCGAAAATCGTGATCTGAGTCATGGTACAATAATTCAAAGGTAGTTTCATGCTCCCATTGCAGTCGGCTTCATAGCTATCTGACATCAAACGAGTCTTCTCTTAAAAAAATCGACCATTTTTATTAAAAAAATATTTGGAGAATTTTTGTATTTTTCATATTTTATTGTATTTTCCAACCGTTCATAGTGGACTTCGTCGAGTTTAAGCCTTTCATGATTCTTGTGTTACAACCTTAGTAAATTGTAAGAAAGTATCAGAAAGAAGATGAGGAGCTGACTGGATTTGCTATAGCTACGTCTCACAGCTTTAGAGATGGTGCACGGAAAGTTTGTAAGCAAACGGGAGTTTGCCTAGAGATGAAAGCTCTACTAAGCAATCAAAGCAGAAATTTTAAGGGAAATCGATAGCGTACCACTTTGGGCGCTGGGCAGTGGTAAAAAAAGTGGTTTGAGAATCAGCCCATACTTCTACCCTGGACTTTTGGCTTAAAGTTGAGAAAACTTATGACACCAAGTTTCGAAATCAAGTAAAAGAAATGTCGTCTTTTTCCATTTTATTTATAACAAAAAGTATCTAACAAATCCCTTTTCACATCTGCAGCCTTAAAAACGGCTTAAAACAAATATTTTAACCGATACCTTACAGGTATAGGATCTGCTGAAAATAACCCCAAAAATAATTAAAAAATCTCAAAGTTGAAAATTTTTTAAGTGGCAAGTTCAAACATTTCTGAGCAAATACTTTTAGTGTCAAAAAATTTTGAAATGAAACCACCTTATAGAATTTTTGTATCATGATCTGAGTTGCTCTATTTCTGCTTGGAGCAAACTCATGAAACAAAAAGTGGAGCAAATAAATTTTCATGAAATACAATTTCTTGAAATAGAGTAACCTAGAGCAGCTCTCAATAAACAAAACAATTATTTTCAAAATTATTTATATTTCATATAATTTTATAATTTTTTTTTTTTATTAGCAATTTCATAAAAATTCACTTAAGATCAAATGTTAATTAAAACACTTGTGCAACATAAAATTTATTATTATTCTTTCTTTTAATCGCAAAATCAATGTCATTAATAAGTCAAACTCATAAAAGTAAATAAATTGGCACAATAAGAAACCGCTGCCAAAACTAAAACCGCATAACCTTTGATTAACCCATATTGAGATAAGGATTCATTTTTTGTGATAATCCTCCTCCGATTTTTGCTGTGCAACTTGATGTTTTTTCAACAAATGGAAGGAGCGACAGTTTTTACCAAGCCGCCCGCGAACGGCCAATGGATTTCTATGAAGACCTTTCATTTCATGTCATAAATACACTCGGTGATCGTGAAATTCCCTGTCGAGGAGCGACTGGAATTAGAAGAAAATAATAATTTTCTATAATTTTTCGTTGTTTATCGAACCGAGATTCAAACATTGGCCTTCCGAAACCAAGTACGCAATGCAATGCAATGCTGACCACTCACTTTTCGGCTTTTCAAAAATTAATTTTTTGGATTTCCTTCATTTTCTTGATTAAAGAATCTTAAATTTAATTCTAGAAGCGTACAAAAACAACGAAACTCACTTTTATCAACTACTAGGAGATCCGGCCACACATTATTGGTGCATTCCGTATTTTGTCTAATTTTATTATAATTATTTTTGCAATAGATCACTTTAGTGATCTGTATCTCGCGTTCTATAAGTGCGATTGGATTACGCTAGATGGCGTTAGAAAGATAATATTTTGTACTAAAAAAGATAACAACGGAAGTTTTGATAATTTAACTCAGTAAAGTTTGGGCGCAAGTCAAAGATAGACACCAGCAAAGGGAAATAAAATTTATATTCTACAATTTTACTTCGATGAAAGCAAAAACATTGGTCGTATACATAGCTCAAAACGTGAAGCGACCATAAGGTCCTGACACTGAAACAGTTCATTATGAAAAATGAAATTTTGTTATATTATAGAAGACGCCCAAGGTGTGGAGCGACCAATTATTGAAACTGTGGATAAGAGTTTGACCGGCATGTGAGCACTCTTTCGATTGCTGAGGAGCAAAGAATTGAAAAAAAGGCAGTTTGAAACCACTTGAAGAATGCCGAGGTCACTAAGAAGCTTCTTATATTAGTACCGCATGAATTAACGAGGAAAATCCTCAGGGACCGAGATTCCATCTGTCAAAAACTCTGAATCGTAATAAAATCGAACCATTTCTGAAGCGAATAGTGACTAGTGATGAAAAGTGAATAATTTACAGCAACGTCACATGAAAACAGTTGTGATTCAAGCCAGAATTGAAGGTTATTTTTTGTGTGTTTTTGGGGCATGGGCAAGGAATCATCTACTTTGAGTTACTTTACTATGATCAAATTTGGACTTTTACTGTGAGCAATTGAACCGTCCAAATTAAGCAATCGTCTAGAAGCGTCCAACTGTCACCAACAGGAGCGGTATAGTGTTTAGGCAGGACAACGCCAGACCACAGCTGTCGATGGTGACTTGCCAAAAGCTTCGAAAGCTTGGTTGGACGGTTCTTATGTATTCACTTTATAGTGCGGTCCTCGCACCCAGTGATTACCATCTGTTTTTATCTATGGGTGAATGATTTGGCTGGTGAAAAATTTGGCCTCAAGCGAAGCCTGTAAAAATCGATTGCCTCAATATTTTGCAAATAAGGACAGTGTTTTTTTTTTTTTTGAGACAGGCCTAATGACAATACGTTCAAAATTCCTAAAAGTTATTGAGAAAAACGATGCTTAACGATTTACTTAACATAAATCGTATATTGGTAAATCAAGTGTTACAAGTTAAATGCAAAAATAATGGAATTTTTTTAATAGACCTAAATAATATATGCGAAGTGTTTACATTTCAGTGTATTAGAACCGGCAGCACCTTAAGCCTTGAATAATGACGAATCCAAGCAGTTTTCTACTTGCTGAATGCATTTTTATGGACAAACCTTCAAGTCTACACATTTTTTCTACAACAAAATAAATAAAAAGTGAAAAAAAAATTAACCAAATTATGCTTCTTTATTAACTATCTAAATTCAAAACGATTTTTAGCGATTCCTGGTTATTAGTTTCTTGGCATTCTGATTATTGACTCATTTTTCATACATCCTCGAGCACTTGAAATACTGTTATTCCCCTATAACCACCTCACCTGGCAGCATTTGAGAAAATTGTTAAATGTAAACCTTTAAGCATAAGCATTTGGCATGAAAATTATTTGTTAAATTTATTTATTAAAAATTTTTCGCTTGGCAAATAATAAAAAAAATGTTAGTGATGCTTATTTAAAAAAAAAATAAAAATACTGAGCCACAATTATGCAAATATTTCTGTACGGTATGTATAGTATGTATGTACAAATATTTATTTGTCAAGCACGCAAAAAATGTTTATAAATTATTGAAGACAAATTTTAATATATTTTATCCATTTATATGAAAATGATTCACACTTTTTGTTGTTTGCAGCAAATATGTGCGCTTCTAACTATGCACATATGTATGTATTTATGTAAATATATTTTGTTGCTGTCAAAAATTTTCGCAAATCTGTAAGAGCAAAAATAGCACGAAAATTCACACATTTTCCCAGCGCTTAAATGTTTGAAATAAAAATTGTATTTTTATTAATTTTCATACATACATATATACTCGTACGTATGCCTGAATATATATCTATGTATGTACATTTACAAATACGAGTGTCATACATATATATTTCTAATAAATTTAACCCAAATTTAAGGTCATGGTTCATTTGCTTGATAGAGCAATTTTACATTTTATTAATCAATGAAATTTGAAAAAAAAATTTAACGGTTCATTGAAAATTGTAATAGCCATACCGTATGTGTGTGATCACTGCAGGGATTCACATGTTTACGCACGGCACGTTTTGTTTCTTTTGCACTAGTTGTTGTTGTTATAGTTGTCACCTCCATCTCTTGAAAAGTTCTTCAATTAAGTTTTTTTTATTGAATTGATGAACAGTAATGAATATCTATTGATTTCACTTAAACAAAACTCGATCTCAACAACATCAACCGAACTGTAAGGTCTATGAGGGCAAACACTATAAATTATTAATAATTTTATTTTATTTTATTTTATTTTTTTTTTTTTTTAGAAAAATATGCGGCGGCGGCGCGCGTTTAATGCACGTTTTCAGAATGCAATTTGATGAGGTAGCTGAAGTGGCAACAAAAAATCTTTTTTTTTTCTTCTGCACTACCGATAACCGTTAAAAAAGTGCGTAAGCAAAACGTTTATTTTATTTTTTTTATTTTATTTTTTTTTTCTTTCACACGTTCACGCGGCGTATTTGCATTCCGACAGGTGTATTGTTCGTCACCGCTTACTAGCAGAAAAAGAAACACGACCGTTGCCCTAGCCAACTGAAATCCAACTGATCATTGGCTATTTCGTTGCGGAGAAGCGCATTCGAGCCAGTCTACGCGAAACGGTGATGCCGGCGACGACGGTGACGACAATAATAGCAATGCGACTACGTCGATTGCGTTCAACAGCTGCCAGTTTGTGACTTAATTGAGCGATTTTTCAGCAGACGAGCGTTTAGCTGTGATGTGATCGGCGCAAAAAGCCATTCACAAACCGACAAAGCTCCATTGGCATACCACTCGTGCGAACTCAACGAAATGTAAACAAAAAAAAACAAAGCGCCGTGTTCGTTATTGCTCAAGCATGCGCAGGCAGCATTGCGAAGCGCGCTACAATTCTCACTCACTTAATAGTTTTCAATCAGTGCAAATATTTATGAAATAAAAAATCTTTACTTTATTATTTTCAGCAACGTCGTACTTTAACAGCAATAATTTCTAAAAAGAAATCATTTTAAATTAATTTTGCACAATTGAAAATTAAGTTTTATTATTTATTGAATACTCGTTGAAAGTGTGCTGCTCATAATTTTATATTTGAAGAGAACGCGATCGCAATAGATGAGCGCTTAGCATTGCGTACTGGTATTATGAAGACCAGGGTTCGAGTCCACGCTCGAGCAACATCCAAAATGATTTTTCTAATTGTGCTCGCCCTTCTGGGAGCAGGGAATGTCAAGTCCTCTTAGTGTATTTCTGATATGAAATAAAAGCTCCACATAAAAATACATCGGTCGTTCGGAGGGCGCTTAGAATACAACTAATTCTCCTTCAATTTAATGGGGAAAATATTTAATATGCAAAACCAAAAAAAAAAAAAATTGGAGGAGCAGCTCGGCCGAAAATCGCTTTGGCGGTTATAAAACGCCTATTAATGTACTTTATTGTTAAGAGAGCGCGTTCTCCTGCATTGAGTTTTTGAGCAGACAATTTATTTTTAGATTGATGAAAATTTGCATTCACAAAAAATAAAATAATTTATTTATTATATAAATACATTTTGTTAATTAAGTCACAAAAAATGTATTTTGCGTACTTTTTATCTACAATTTATGGTTCGCGGATATTTGAAAAATCTTAAAAGAAAATTTATTTATTTTTTGAAAAAAAGAAACATTCTTAAATTAGTGTTTTTTAGACATGTGGATTTATGGCAGAGAATCTAGCTTTATTGTTGGCAATCGCGTGCAAAAATAATGAGGCATGCGGGTCGAATAAATTCCAGCCGAGAGGCCCCACTCTAGACATCCTTTTGCAGCAGTTGGGACAAAAACCGCTCCAAGGCCTCAATCGTCTCAGACAAATCTGCGTAGACAAGGTCGTCCACATCAACATTCTCACATTTAGGCATGAAAAAGTCACTAATTACGACTCTATAACATATCCCATTGAGTGGAACATTCATTACTGAAAAACTAAAGGAGGTTTTTTTTTAGCTATAATCTTTTTGGCAACACTGGTTTAAACAGCTGACGCACGTTTCGTGTTTTGTATCGCCGTCAAACATCTTCAGCTTGGTCTATAATTTAACCATGAATCGTCTCACAATGGAACAAAGTTTGCAAATTATTGAATTTTATTATCAAAATGCGTGCTCTGTTAAGAAAGTTCTAAAAAAATTTAAAAAAACACTGTGTGCAGCGACCAAGCACATTTTTGCCTTAATCGGTGCGTAAATAAGCAGAATTGTCGATTTTGGAAGGCAGAAGCATTGCAAGAGCTACCAATGCATTCAGAAAAACTCACAGTCTGGTGCGGCTTATGGGCTGCTGGCATCATTGGACCGTACTTCTTCAAAGATTATGTGAATCGTAACGTAACTGTGAAAGGTGTGCGCTACCGTGAGATGATATCAAACTTTTTTTTTTGCCCAAAATGCAACAGCTTGACTTACATGACTCTCAGCTTCAACAAGACGGTGCCACATGCCACACAGCACGCATAACAATAGACTTATTGAGAGGCGAGTTCGTTGAACATTTCATTTCACGTGCGGGACCGGTCGATTGGATGCCTAGATCGTGCGATGTAACGTCTTTAGACTATTTTTTGTGGGGCTATATTAAATCGAATATCTATACAGACAAGGCCGCCATTGGAGGACAACATTGAAGCATTCATTCATGAGATACCGGCCAAAATGTTGGAAAGAGTATTCCGGATGGACCATTTGAGGCGCAGTCACGGTCAACATTTGCATGGTATACTCTTTAAGCATTAAATCATATGGACCGTACTGTCGATTCAAATAAAGATTTCGTGCATTTCCTATAGCTCTTAAAAAATCACACTTTATAAACCTCTGCCAACAGAGCACTCATAACAGTCACTTTTTGAGATTGCGACTGTGTCAACAACAACGACTTGGGACCCATTCAACCAAAAGTGAGTTTCAACACGGAATAAAATTTTCTTCTGAAAATTGGAATCGGTAGCCATTTTGGGTTCATTCACCGAACGTGCAGAAGATTGATGATCGTTGGCTTTAATTCTTGCACGAGTGCTCAGTAACTAAGTGGGACGAAGAATTCGTCAAACGTTACTTAGGTTTTTAAGTGCAAAAGTTGTCACGTAATTTGCCACAGGAATTTAGCCCTTACTCATTCGTTCCACTGGTGAAAAGTGCAGTTCAGAAGTGCGAAGAAACTACGGAGAAAAAAGCAAAACTGATGTTTATTTCCGGTCGAAGATAAGTTAACGAAGCGAGTAGGGGAAATTTCGAAATTTATCATTTTGCACTAGACTCGCATAGGAAGCTGCGCAGCCGTCAATCAACCACCACTCAAGTGAAAAGGGATAGAACAACGCAGTACATAACAGAATATCTGGAACTTAAGCAGATGAAGTTCATTACAAACAATAAGTCTTTTAGTCGTATCATTTTCTTGAGAATTGCATCCTTTCATAAAATGCAATGCAAAGAGCGAAGAGTAGTCTTTCTGATAATCTAAATAAAAATCCACCTATGTACGAGTATGTACCAAATTTCAAGTTAATTGAACCATAAATACCATTTATTGTAATAAATGGGCTTCTGGTCTTCAGAACCCGGAGAGAAGCTAGCACAAAGGTGTGCAAGTCATGACTGACGACCAGAAAGGCGTTGCTGTGTTTTTGATGGGATCCACAAGGAGTCATGCACCATGAGCTGCATCCTAATGTTCAAACTCTCAATTCGGACCTGTACTGTCAATTGTTCTCCTAATTGTGTTTCATCAAGACAACGCCAAATCCCATGCATCGATAGTGTCTGGCTAGAAGCTTCGAGTGCTTGGTTGGGTGGTTCTTATGCATTCACCTTATGCTCCGGATCTCGCACCAAGTGATTACTATCTGTTTCTGCGTTTGGCGAATGATTTGACTGGCGAAGAATTAGATTTAAGAGAAGACTAAGATTGTTCCATTTTTTTCTTTTCTTTTTTTTTTTTTGACAATAAGAACAAAGGTTTCTGACCTGCAAAATGACAAAATTTTATCGCGCAAATCGGTGCATATGTGACAAAAATCGGATAATTCTAGCGACGGTAAAAAAACCTTCAATTTAATAAAAATAAAAAAATAATGCATGACTTTTTACTTGACCACAAATTTTTATAAATATTGGATGAGTGCATAAGTTCGTGCCCGATTCCGCTGAATGCCGTTCGAATCGTTTGAGAGTGGCGCTCGTGAAAGAAATATATACATATTATATATCGTTGGAAAGGTGACAGTCCGAACTGTAAATCAAGCATAAAATAACTTCATTTTGATTTGAGTTGCTTAGTGAAAAGACGCATGGAAGATGGACAACGAAAAAGATCATATGCGTCATATTATGTTATACGAATTCCGCAAAGGAAAAACAGTAGGCGCTGCAACTAAAGATATTCGCGAAGTTTATTTGGACCGTGCTCCAGCACTCCGCACAGTAAAGAAATGGTTCGCGAAATTTCGTTCTGGAGATTTTAACCTCGAAGATCAACCTCGCAGTGGACGGCCTTCTGAGCTTGATGACGATGTTCTAAGGACTTTAGTTGCGAATAACTCACGTATTTCGACGGAAGAGGTTGCCAGTGAATTGAACGTCAACAAATCAACTGCGTTTCGTCGTTTAAAAAAGGTTGGGTACACTTTGAAGCTCGATACATGGGTGCCACATCAGTTGAGTGAAAAAAACAAAGTGGACCGTATGTCAACAGCAATTTCTTTGCTTCGACGGATCAAAAACGAACCTTTTTTGGATCGGCTCGTGACTGGTGATGAAAAATGGATCCTGTACAACAATGTTCAACGCAAAAGAACATGGAAACAGGCACACGAAGGGGCGGAACCGATGTCGAAAGGTGGATTGCATCCGATGAAGGTACTGCTGTGCATTTGGTGGGATATCCGAGGCGTGATCTATTTTGAGCTCTTGCCAGCTGGAGAAACGATCACTGCCAACAAGTATTGTCAGCAATTGGTCGAATTGAAGAAAGCAATTGATGAAAAACGTCCGATTTTGGCCAATCGCAAAGGAGTTCTTTTCCATCATGACAACGCCAGGCCACATGTTGCAAAACCGACCCTGGCCAAACTGAAGGAGATGAATTGGGAAATCATGCCGCATCCCCCATATTCACCCGACATTGCACCTTCTGATTATCATTTGTTTCGATCGCTGCAGAACAATTTGAATGGAAAAAAATTTAAAAATGTGGAAGACGTCAAAAACCACCTTGACACCTTTTTCAACGAGAAACCGCGCGATTTCTATGAATCAGGCATCCGTAAATTGGTTGAACGTTGGGAGTGGATTGCCGAACATGCTGGCGAATACATAATTGATTAATAAAAGCGCTTTCTTCAAAAAATTTCAATTTTAGTTTGCACTTGAAATCGGGCACGAACTTATGCACTCATCAGTTTATTTCACGTAAAAAAAGAATTTCAAACAAAAAGTATTAAGTACGATATCTTCGAATAGGTCGGCGGCCTCTTGTGCATTTCCCGAAGAGAAGAGTGGTCCTCTGTACCAAATTTCAAGTTAATCGAACCATAAATTTGATTTTTTGTAATGAGCTACCGGAGAACAGAGTAGTCCAGTCGAGTCAATCGAACCATGAATACGATTTTGGCGATTAGGTCAATCCCTGGTCCATTTCCCTAAACAATTTTTTCTTACAAACCTTTCCAGGGAACCATAG